CTACACTGCATTTATTTTTTCCCACATAGATAAAAGATGTCCAGATGGATTAAAGAGAAATTCTGGGAGCTAAATAAATTCAATCAAGACATGTTTATGCAAAAAATTGCAATTACAACTACACTGTTTAATTGATGCTGAAAAAGTACATTTCTTCCTTGGCATTAGTTTACATATTTGATTTATTCACCACTTTAGGAAGACTTCTTTGTTTTGAACCTGGGGATGTTCTGCCATTGAGCTACAATCCTACTTTAAAAGATGTGATTCAAACAATAAAAATAGTGCATCTGCCAAATCTGTTCAGCTTATGAGACTGATCTACACAATAATTGTCACCACAAATCCCATTTCTTTACTTAGGTTCAGATGTGGAAAAGCCTATGGTGACACCACCTCATTCCATCTCATCACTGTCATAACACCTCGATAACTATCAATTGCCAGTAGTGTACCAGCCCCCAACTGGGAGTATACTGATAGCTTCATTTGAGCCTATTACCTGAATCAGGTCACAGGCTCCATACCTTGGATTTCTGATCGTCTCTTTCTCAATACATTCATTCCTGATAGGCTGTCTTCTCTATTTATTCAATCACAGATAGCTACTACATATCTATTATGTATAAAGGCTGTGCTGAATATTATCCACATTTTATGCATTCAAAAAATTTCTATTGCTAATATATAAGTATCACCAATGGAAGCTGCTCATTGCTTACCTTACTCTTCTTGACCTCTTAGACCTATCTTCATACCTAAAAACCTCATTAGTATGTTTCTGCAATTCTCCACACTTCCTGCAGTGGGTGCTGTGGTGCAGTATGGGTACTGTGGTGCAGTATGGGTACTGTGGTGCAGTATGGGTACTGCTGGCTGCAGGGAGGAGTGGTAGCTGACAGTTCTCAGTTCCTCTCTGCAAATTCCTTCACCAGAAAAGAGCTTTCTCACCTAGGTCATGGCCTGCCTAGTTTCAGAGTTCACTGACCACTGGCTGAAGCCCTTCTTGCAAGTGCACTTGAGCTCCTCCCTCTGCCAATACTGCTTTCCTTAACCTTCAACGTCCTTATGCAAATCTGTTGTCTGTTTCCCTGGGATGATCTACAACAGGTGCTACCAGGAGTGGTCCAATGAAGCAGTTCCAAATTGAAATTTTGGAACTGGATCACCAGCCACTCACTGGCAATGAGGACTCTCTGTGCCTGGTGGTAGATGGAGCATTGACAGGCCCCAGCATGCAATTCTAGGCAACTGTTGAAGCTTTTGCCCATGATGATGAGCTGGAATGGAATAGTGGGCAACAAGAATGCACTGGTTGGTGTTATTTTGAAAAATCTGGAGGACTAGGTAATTTTAGGACTTGTGTTGCATGGTTGTGGGGGGGAGAGGGATGTACTGGGGAAGGCAGGGGAGAGTTTGGAAATAATCTTCACCAGTGAAGTGTAGTGGGAAAGGCAAGAGATATTTGGGGCATAGAATATTCATGCTGCACCCAGAAGACAGAAAAGGCTGAGGGTCAGGGCCAAGGTAATAGAGTAGCAAAGAGGCTAGCATGGCAAACACGTCAGCTCTGCCAAGCTGGGGCCATGACCTGATTGGGGCGTAAAGGGAATGTGAAGCTTGGTACAAGAATATTGAGGTCAATGCTCTAAAAAAAATCTGTTATATTCAGATTCTCCTGAAGAAGCGGCTCACTCCTTCCCCATTAAAATGTATAATGTCTTACTTCTTAAAGACTAGGTGAGGCTTCTGCCTAGCAAGACACATACTCTCCTCAAGAAGTGTCTACAACCTCCTTTCCTGGCCAAGGTACAACATAACTTGGGTGTGAGAAGGAGAAAAATAAACCATACTGTGAATACTGCTTGGAAAACATATAAATGACTTTTTCTTAAAGGGTGTGTGTCAAGGTCACAGAATACAAACATGGCTGATTGAGAGTTGATTTACATGGGGTACCCTCCTGAGATCAAGAACATAACAATCAGTTAAGTGCCCCAGGAACTGAAGTGCAGTCATGTCTGCTCTTGGAAACTTAGAAACAGCGATGGTCCCCATGCAGTGATGTGAAAACGAGAGGACAGAAGTGGCAAACAATGGAGCAAAGGCTCATCAGGCATTCTAGAGTGGATACTAGAGAGAACTCTGAACCCAACAGCTAGCCATGTTTCATAGGAGGGCACTTTACCAAAGCTATAAGGAAGCCATAGTTATACCTTACAGAGTAGGGCAGTGGTCTCCATTATACTCCCACCAACCTTCCCCTTCAAAAACCAGACAGATGCTAGAGAATAATGCGGATCAATGCAAACTAAACCAAGTAGCAGTCCCAATGTAGATGTAATAATGCCAAACATGGGAACTTTATGGGAGCACATTTATACAGCCTCATGGCATTGGCCGGTGATCTGAAGAATGCCTTCTTTTCTACCTCTCTTGAGGAGGAGCAGAAGTAGTGCATGGTAATAAAAATGGGATACCTGTGGCCTTGCCCAGGATTTGCTTACTTTCTCACTCTCTGTAATGTGGCCAGTGGCTATCATATTGGATAACACAGATATAAAACATTTCCATTATTGCACAAAGTTTTATTTGGACAATGCTGTTTCAAACATTCAGCAAAATCACCTGTTTGACTGTTATGTAAATGCCATTTTGTTGGAGCCAATAAGTAGTAAGTGGCAAGTATACTGGAAAATTTGGTAAGATATGTGCTTCATGTGTGAATGATGGGCCTGACAAAGGCCTAAACAAAAAAAAAAATTGTTAGATTCAGAGGCTCACTAACCATATCAATGAGACCTGCAAGAGGTACTGTCTCAGACACGCCATGCCATTCTGTCCCATGAAAAAAAGGGCAAATTCTTGCATTCTACACTGTGACCGCAATGCATGGCAGGTCTTTTTGCATTTTGGAGGCAGTGTATTCCACACTTGAAAATACTGCTCCCATTCATTCACTGAGTAACAAGAAGTGCTGTCACCTTTGGATGGGATCCACATCAAGAAAGGATTCTATGGCAGGTCCAGTCTGTAGTGCAAGCAACAATGGCCCTTGAGCCAGAGTAACTGATACATATGCATACCTTTATCTTTCATTTCTGCATATCAGTTTTTTTGTGTGTGTGCTAAACTGCTATCCTAAACAAAAGATTATATTTTTGGCATGTTCAGCAGATTACAAAACAATTGGCAGGATACCATTTTTTGTTAAAAATCAGGAATATTAACTGAAATAACACAAATTATTATCTAAACAATTGTTTTTATCTGCAACATATAATTATGAGTGCCTGAACTGCTTTCTGTGCCTTTCATTTTTTCTACCACATACTTGTGAAATGAAGAACACAACAATAAGAAAAAAATTAAACTTAAAATACCTGTTAAAATACCTTTGACTTTCCCGACTAAATTACATTTCATCTTTCCTGTTTGTATGTTCTATTACTGCACCTAATGTGTGAGGGCAAGGGATGTTCTGGATGTCTTTCATTTTATAGTCTACAAAGTGTAGCTCAGTATCTGGGAACAGCATCAATTATTCCATGAAGTGATCACTGAGTTTTTCCTATTGGTTGTAACTTGATAATCTCTCTCTCTCCAATCTATCCTATCCAATTTCTCTTTCTCATAGGCATTGAAACACAAGCTGAGAAAAATCTCCTAGACAGTATGCAACAAAATGATCAAATTCAAGATCAACTTCCATATATCTAAATTCGAATTTTTGAAACCTGGTCCTAAACAGTTTAACGGTTCTTCTGTTGAGTCATTTTTCCCTCCTTAGGTGTCAACTTGGTAGAAGGACATGGTCAGCTCTTGTCAGGTTGACTGGAAGATAAGTACCGCCTTTACCTTTCTGGGAGGTGGAGACTGCCGTTTCCGCCCTCTGATCTCTGTGCACCGACACTTGCTTGCGGCGGTCCTCCTGTGCGTTGCAGGGGCTCGGTCCCTGTGTCCAGATCGTTTTCTGGACGAGTCCAAGAACAGATCTAGGTTGCGCCGTTTTCTTGGGCTCTCGCAAGCCCCACCTCAAACTGGGCTGAGTCTTCGAGGCAGCCCTGTGAGGCCCACGGTCCGGCAGCAACAGCCGCTTTCCCGAGGACCTGTGCAGCCTCTCCGCGTACTGCAGAGCTCTTAGGGCAGTACAGATCATGTTCCCAGAAAGCCGTCCCGCTCAGGGACGCAACCAAGCAGCAAAGCTTCGCAGTCCACAACACGACTGGCCGGCCACGCACGAATCCACACCTTCACGTTCCACGGCGTCCGCCTCCCTCCCGGCCCCCAACTTGCTTGCGAGCGCCCTGACCCTTCCGCGCTGACATTCACGCCCTACTGCTCCGCAGAGCAGCCTGGGAAACCCCTGGGTGTCTGGGAATGGCAGTTCCCGGGCCGTGCTGCACACTGAGGGGCCGCGCGAGGGCCGCGGCAAGCACTGCATCTCCCACAATGCAAGGCGGCCAAGCGCGTTGCCCTCTCCGCGCCTCCCAGAGGCCTCTACGCGTATGGCCACGCATGCGCCGCGCATCATCCGGCGGCAGGGGGAGGGGCCGCAGGAACTTGTGCCTCGGTCCTGGTAGGTCCAGCAGAGGTTGCAAGAATCAAATAAGCAGATGTAAACTGTGTGTTCTCCTGATCGTTCTGGAGAAGGCTGTGTTAACTGGAGAATCCTTCGCCTCATGGTGGCCCATTTGAACTTATTGGCAAATAATTTCATTTCTGTGTTTTTTCTCAAGAAAACCAGACAACAGCCAAGTGAAAATGAACGGGGATGCCGAAAAGCAGGCAAGGGTGTCGTAAAGTCCCAGCGGCGGACTTGACGCCTGGCGTCCTGGGCATCAGAACGACGCGGGCATGGGAAAGAAGCCGGCCCCGAAGCGTCTAGAACGCCATCTGGTAGCTAGGCGACAACGTCAGTAGCGCCAGTGCACGCACGCGCGAAGGCGGCCGCGCTTCTGCGCGTGCGCAGAGCCTAGGCGCTCTCCGAAGCGTCGCGCCGCTGGGCGGGCCCCACCAGGTCTCCATGGCGACCGGACGCGGGCGGATCCTGAGGCAGCACTGGCTTGGCCTCCAGGCGCAGCGCGGTCCCCTCCTGGGTGGCGGCTGGCCGCGGGGCAGCGCGGGGCCAGCCGCGTGGCGTGCCGGGGCCACCGGGTTCAGGTGACAGTGGGGTCCACTGGCGTGTCTACCCGACCCGTGAACCCTTGGCGGACGTCCCCGCCTGCTGCTCTCGAGCGAGTGCTTTTATTGGTCGGGCGTCGCCACGTGACTGGTGGCGCGCTCTTTTTTTTTAAACGCGGGAAAGGGTGCAGGACGGTAGAAAGGTCCCCTCACCCTGGAAAAGTGGGTTTCCTACTCTGTGGTACTTCCCGGGAAGAGCCCAGCGCCGCCCGCGCGGCAGGCTCTGCCAGTGTCTGCAGGGGTCTGGGGCGGGAATCACCCCTTGCCCTCGGTGTGGGCCAGGAGGGGCAACCCCCCGGACCTCCCCGGGGTTGGCCTGCTGGCGGCTGGGCGCCGTCGCTCCCCGGCACGGTCCTCTGGTGGAGGCTGGTCGGGGAGGCGCTGCGCCGCCGCCCACGCGGCCCAGGTCGCCAGATCCACACAGGACCCTGCCCTGCCGCCGCCTCTCTCAGGCTTGGGGACCCAGGGAGGCCTCTCTGCAGTGTGGGTGGCCGGGGGGGGGGGCGGGAGCGGGAGGCGCCGCCCTCCAGCCGAATCCGGTTTGACCCGAGGAGGGGACTCGGTCCGGGAGGTCCCGAGTGCCTGCAGCTGCTGAGGCACCGCACTGGCTCCCCGTTTCCTCGCCAGCTGTGTCTGGCCCAGTCCCCGTTATTCTGGGCAGGAATAATGCTAAGATCGTACGTTCCTGAGGATTCCCTGTTCCCAAGGCTGTTGGGCTACGAAGCGAAAGGCCAATTGTCTTGAAGCCTTGGATGTTACCTCAAGTTTTTTCCCCCTCCCCTGGCTGGAGGAGTGCATCTGTCCTCCCTGGTCTCCGAAGCACAGCCCCGTTCGTCAGTGCCACGACAGCAGTTCTGTTTGAAAGGCTATAGCGCTGGATAAAGCGCAACCCTGTGGCAAACCAAAGGTCACAGTGCTTGCAAAAGTTATTACGCAGAACAGAAAAACTGGCTTTTAAGTAGGAAACTTAAGCTTTCAGTCAGTTTGCCTCAATTACTAAAATCAGTTTTTATGTAGTGCTCTGTTGGGGGAAGCAGAATGACTTTTATATGATGAATCTTTTCTTTGTAAGTTGAGTGAACTTCCTGGTGGAATGATGTTCACTTCAGTGCCAGTCATTATGCCTGGCATGGGAAACTGCATTTCAGCCTGTGGTGTGAACATGTATAGATGCTACTTGGTAAATGGAAGTCAGCTGCTAAAAATAGAATAACTCTGGTTTGAGAAGCTACTTTTAAAAAGTGCATTATAATTTAACACAGTTGTGGAGTTCATTTTGACATATGAATGGCATTTAATACAATTTGGTGCTGTTTATATCCCCAGTACTACCCCCTTATATGTCTTCTCCCTACTGATCCCTTACCTCTATTCTGTTGGTCTTCCTTCTATTTATTTTTTAACCCGTGCATTACAGTTATACATAAAGTGGAATTCATGATGATATACTCATACATGCATATAGAATACTTTCTTTCCGCAGTTCTTGCCCTTTTCCAACCCTCCTCCCTCAGTCCCCTTCCTCTACTCCACTGTTCTGCTTTCTGTTTTCATGAGGTCCCCCTTTTTAATTCCTTATTTCTCTTTATATTTTGCATATCAGAAAAAACATTCAACCCTTAGTTTTCTCAGTCTTATTTCACTTAGCATGATGTTTTTACAGTTCCATCTATTTACCAGCAAATGGCACAATTTCATTCTTTTCTATGGCTGAGTAGAACTCCATTGTGTATTCATACCTCATTTTCCATATACATTCTTCTATTGATGGGCACCTAGGCTGGTTCCTAACTTGTCTATTGTAAATTGTGCTGATATAAACATTGGTATGTATGTATCCCTAGAGTATGCTAATTTCAGTTCTTTTGGGTAAATGACAAGGAGTGGATAGCTGCATCAACAAAGCATTACTTTTAATGTCTTATTGTGGAAAACTGATGTGAATAAGGAATCAGTGGTTTCCTTTTTAATAGTCTACATATAACTGTCACCCTGTAAGAAATATAGCAGCACATGTATCAAGTTGGCTCAGTTTTTATCTACCCTAACTGCTTTGATTTACTAGATACTAAAAAGAAGGCAGAGAAATTAGATTTTTAAAATATTAAACTTATTCAAAGTTATCAGGCAAAAATTTGTCACTTGAAAAAAAAAGTGTTTTAAACCAAATATGCTCCAGTAAGTATATCAGACATAGATCTTTTTAAAAATTATTTATCTAACTTGCTATACACGATGGCAGACTGTAGCTCGTTTCATACTACACATATAGAGCACAGTTTTTCAAGTCACTGATTGTATACAAAGTATTTTCACACCACTTGTGTCTTCAGACCTAGATCTCAGGAGAACATGCATACAACTTAACTGATATGCTAATGTATGTCCCTTAACAATGTACAGTTGGTTTTAGGAAGAATGGAAATGTGCTTTCAATAGTGTCAAAATTTAAAATCTTATCAAACATGGAAAAAGACCTCTGAAGGGAAATATAGCAGGCTGGGTCTTGGGGCTCCCTGCCCTGACTTGGGACTTTGAACAAGTCTCTTTAATTGCCTAATTAGAGCCTTAGTCTTCTGTGAAATGATGGACTCCATGAATTGTATTTTAATTGTGAGAAAAACAAAACTAAAAAAAAAGATTTTAGCATTTTTAAAGTGTTAAAATATGTTTGTGAAAAAATAGTTTTCACTTTCAATTAAATGAAATAGGATGAAATAAGTTTTAAAGCACTTAGCACATTACTTTGTGCAGAGTATCCAACTAAGGAGTATTGGTAGAATTGTACTTACTAAATGAACCCTGTTAAATGTTTAGTCAAAGATAGAGGCATATTCATTTGCTTCTGGTTTAGGGATTCAGACTAGGGAAAAGCCTTTGGTACTTTTTGTTGTTGTTTTTTAAATAATTAGGACCAAACAGGATTTGCCTGCTTGATCACTATTTGAAACTATCTTTGGGAGAATTACAGCTTGAATTTGAGAAATCCACGAAGATTATTTTATTTACATTATAGGTTATGTAAATTTACATAACAGGTGGCTTTATTCAGTTCTTGAAAATTTCTAAAGCAGGCTTTCATAAGTTCTGGACATTTGAGTTAACTTTCTCAGGAAGAACTCACTGGATAGAGCCAGTATGTGTTCTTTGACACAGCTGAGCCCCATCTCTCTGTGCTTCTCAAATGGATAGGTGCTACTGGGTAAGGGACACATAGTTACTCTTTCTGATGTCTAAAATTAACAGAGAGATTTTGGAAAATTATTACATAATTTAAGTGGTAATTTTTGTAAGAAAAAGGTAGATAAATTATCTAGGAGCATGCATTATTTGTGTGTGTATATATATATGCACATAGATAGATATATATATACACATATATGTACACATTCATGTGTGTGTATATCCATATATGTGTATATGTGTACATATATATATATGTGTGTGTGTGTGTGTGTGTGTGTGTTAATACCTTGTCTCTATTCAGATCTGGTTTCAATTTCTTTGGGGGCACTTGCCAGGATGCCTCAGAGAACCACTGTTTCATTCTGAAGGATTGTGCTGCCAAACTGACTTCTAGCAGCTATGTGCATGAGATCTCAGTTTTGAAATTGAAGCAACAACTACTCCTTAAATTTATTACATACTCAGTATATTAAAACAATGAGAAAAATAAATGGAGTTTTGCCTCTTAAGTCTTCCAGTCCCCACTTGAAAATCACCACCACTATTAAACCTTCTAATTCTATGACTCATATATGTATATATATATATATATGTAATATACATATGTATACATATTTACACTTATATATATGCATGTGTGTAATACCTTTTCTCTCTATTCAGATCTTTCCTTTGTATGCATGTGCTTACTCTTAGAGAACTAGGAAAGTTCGTTTATGTAGTATATTCTGATATGACCTGACTTTTCAATTAATATATCATTAATTTAATATATTTATTAAGTGCTATTTGCATACCAGATGCATGGGGGTGCTGAAGAATTAGCACTGAACAAAGCTCATACATGTTCTTACCTATATGGAGCTTACATCCCAATGATAATAAATAAGACAGAATACTAAAATGCATAGTATTGGTGACATATGCTAAGGAAAAAATTAGTAGGGAAATAACATAAAGGGTATGTGTTTAGGGTCTGGATGCAGTTTTAGGAGGCATGGCCAAGGAAGGTCTTGGTGAGATAGTGACATTTGTAAGTGCCTAAAGAAGGTGAGGGAGCAAGCTAAGCAGACTCCTGAAAGACATACATCAAGCACTTCACCTTTGTTGGGACTGCATCTTCACTGTCTGCACAAGGTAAACAGCATGGCAGCCATACAACCTAACCAATACTATGCTGTTTCCATCTTTTTATCCAGTGAAGACAGCTTTGAGGTGAATATTCTCATGGGAGCTATCTGGGCACGTTTTCTTTATGTAGGGTATATAAGTCCTGCTTGTTTCTATAGCGGAAAAGCTATCCAGGGAAGAGAAGCTCATTCTTCAACTGCTCGGGTACATGCAGTGGTGCCTGCTGATCAGAGCAGATGTGTGCTGTTGGGTAACATAGTGCTCATTGCCATGTGGACATCATGGTGTGCTACCTTGGTGGTAGGACTCAACCTACACTGTCACTTGGCTTGTCAGCTGACACCTTGGGCCAGGGACCCTTTTATTGCCTGTGGCTCCTAAGAGCAGGGTGTGCTTGGAGTGGAAAACTATCCTTTGTTAAGATCCATTTTAAGTGGATTTCATACTTCAGCTCCAGAGGGTTAATTAGCCTTCCTTTGAAGTGCTTTGGGCACCTCATTTTGGTCCCCAATTATTGCTTACTTCCTATTTGAGTGTTAGTCCAAATATGCCTGGGGAATCAGTGTGGTACAGAAACTGAGGGTTATTAAACTCTCTGTGAGTAAAGTACATGTTCTAAAGTAATGGCAGTGAACTGAGCATGTGGGTAGTATACTCTAGATTTTAGTTGCTTCTTGAATGACATGCTGGGTGGGAGATGGGTCAGTAACTGATGTGTGTGTGTTGTACATTGCTTCAAGAGGCAGATTCCAAATCTTTTCAAGAGAATTAGCATCTTAAAGATCCTGCCTAGAAATCTGAGCTCTAAGACTCTTCTAGGGTGTTTCATATCCCCTCTAAACTGCCATCAATCATTGCTGGTTTTGAGGCTTGATCATGATAAGGACTAATTGTGTAAAGTGTTATATCTTATTTCATAAAATGTAAAAACTTTAATTTAGATATTCGATAAAATAAAAAAGAGGCCAAATAAAATATATTTCATTGAATGTGAGATGTTAAATGTGAGAGTGCTGTGGATGAGTCTTTTGGCCAAGACTGCCAAAGCTACAGAGTTGGAACTGGTCCTAATCTCCCCAAAGATAAGCAAAGTTGTAGCTTGCGTTGAGAGTTCTAAAGTTCTTAAAAATCTCAAGCTCTTGATGCTATCTTTATTATGTTTCTTTTGTGTTATCATAACTGGCCAGTCAGTATATTTTTCCTTTTCCTTCTTGTGTCAATTGAATACATTTCATAGCACTTCTTTGACAAGCTGACAATTTGTAATGAGAGCAGGTGTTAAACCTTTGATTGAAAACACATCAGAGTAAGTCCAGGCTTCAGGTCTACTCACCAGGACACTTGCCACAGGACCTTCTTCCTTTGCCCTCCCTTTTTTCCTTCATTTCTTCTTCCCCTCCTTCCTGTCTTCCCATGCTTTCTTTATAGAGCTATGCAGAGATGAAGTTTCACAGTGAGACATCTTTGGAGTTTATGAATTCTTTAGAATTTTATAGAGAGGAACAGAAAACTCACCTCATTTGGCAGTCATGTAATTTGAATCCCCACTTTTCCTTTCAGAAAGGGGCCTGGTGTCAAATCCTCTGCAGGCCACACTGCTGTGAAGCAATATGCCAGACATGGCCAGCACAGTGAGAAATCTTCTAACTGTTCTATATCTCTGGATAGGTAAGTAGCTGGAGTAGCTGACCACTGTTTTGGGGGCTCTAGATGGAGATTTTAGAGAAAGTCATAGTGCTGTATATACCAAGTTGCTATTTTGAGCTCTCTAAGAATAGGATTGTGTAGGAAGAATGTACAACAGAGAATTTGATATGAGTCACGAGCCTGTCACCATTATTCTTATTAGACGAGTTTTATGAAACTAAGCTTATAAAAGTGACACATAAATTGAATTTTCCTTTTATTAAAATGTTCTCTAAAATTATTCACTTTTCAATTGATAAAGACCATTGAAAGAAGAGAAAGAAGATTAAAATGCATTCTCCTAAAATCTTAGAAGTTCTCTGTATTTCTTAGCTACCAGTATTTTGGGACCCCATTTTCTATGACAAGATTCCATACTGTGACCTTCATTATGAAGATCCATAGAATTTTGTAAAAATAGTTATTTGTAATTGATAAGATGTCTATAGATTTGCACTGTGGTAACATTATCTGTGTGCTAAACATTGTGTGGAGCTCTGAAAATTTGGTGTTATTATAGAGAGACATTTTACACTGGAGGAAGTAAGGTCCACATAGTCCTGTGTTGCAAAACTGTGATTTAAACATAAGTTTCCTGTGTTCAAATTCTGGGCATTTAATAATATATCATGACTAGTTCAGCTAATAGTGTCCATATTTTTATATACACATTTTATTGTGAATATTTTAGTATGGTTTTACAAAGAAAAGCCAAAAAGATAATTAAGGACATCAGTTTAGTTTAGAACCCTTTATTCTGGGAATACAATCTGTCTACAATAATCAGAGATGGAAATAGAGCAAATATTTGTTAGTTTGGTTAATCTGTCTAGGTATTTGAGGACCTACTCTGCCTGGGGTGCTGTACTCACTTTTGGAGACAAATAACCACTCAATTCCCATGAAGCTTATGGTCTAATGGGGGAGACAGATTTTTAAAATGTAAATTATTATAAATTGGGATACATTCTATCCAAGAAACAAATAGATTCTGTAGTGCAGAATAGTGGCGTAGAATGGTAAAGAAAGACTTCCCTGAGGGGGTAGCATAGAAAGTGAGGGCTGAGAACAGACTCAGGAGCTTGGAGAAGAGGACCCAGAGGTATGGAGGTGGTGGTGGTGCTGCTCCAGGTGCTGCTGGAACAGTGGTGGCAGCACGTGAAGCGAGGCTTCCATCATAGTATGGCATGGTGTCATTTAACTTTTTGGTATTTTGTTTGCTTGTTTGCCTCTCTCCTTTTGAAGGAGGGGAAGTGGAGATACATGCAAATTTGTGATAATATTTAGATGTAATTGGTATCACTCATTTTTGAATGATAAGTCAGTGTGAGGGGAAAATTGACATCAGATAGGAGCTTGAACCTGTCAGCTTGAGCAGACGTATAAATGAAGGTGCTGCTGACTCATATGGGTGGGGGCAGAAGAGGGTAAGTGATGACAGAAGAGGATGCCAGGCGACAGTGGGCATGAGTCTCCTTCAGGGTGAGGTCAGCAGGAGTTTGTTCTACTGGAGACTGTGGGGTGTCCTGGGGAGAGAGTGGAGAAAGAAGCAAATGTGGCGTAAGATGAGCTTGGGAGACTGGGGCATTGAGAAGCACCCAGGGAGCTAGGGGAAGACCTGCGAGGGCCAAGAAATCCAAGAGGGGTGTTGCGTGAACCAGGAGAGGAGATTGCTGAAAAGCCAGGAATGGTCCTGTATCTGCTGTGGCAGGAGGGAAAGTGGGTGGACTGTGACAACCTTGAACTGTTTCAGGTCAGCAGAAGGAAATGGCTGGACATCATTTTTAAAAATGTTTTTTGAATGTTTTATTTCACACTGAAATGTACAAAAGAATGTGGGAGGCACAAAGTGGGGGCAGCAGGTGTGACAAGTTGTTTTCTTCTGTTCTTTCCTAGAAGCTTGGCTGTGTGTGGGGGTCTTAGAGATTGTGTGGTAGCTGGAGGGAGACATGAGAGAAGAGGATAATGTTATGATGAGATATTTGGAGCAGTGTTTTCAGAGAAAAGCAGGGCGGGAATGGAAAGCTAGGGTTCTTGAGGATGAGTAGGGACTCAGAGCACAGGTGGTTTGATAGGAGGAAATGAGGATTCTCATGGGAGCAGAGAGGTGTAGAGATTATAGATGCAAAAGTATTGGAGTGGATCACAATAAGAAATAGGGACAAAGTTATGTTCAAGTTTGAATTCCCTTAGTTCTGAAATGAGCAATCACAAATGAACTCAGTGTTTCTCAGGGAAGCCTGTTGGCCTAAAGCAGTTTCCTTGCTTTAAACTTCTTTGTCCTTCTTCTTGCCTTCCACTGTCACTTTTCTCCCCCATAGTCCCCTATCCTTTTCTTCTCCCTCAATAACTATGTAAAACTGCAAATGTGAAAAAATTAAAACCCAAAAGAAAATAACCCAATATGGGTGTAACCATTGGTGCTTTCATCTTGGAGGAAAGTTTAGGAACAATAATTAAGAATACTTTAATCTTAGCCATTTTAACTATAAAGCGAGGTTTTCCCCTTGTGCCAGAATTGCAAACAAAGAATCCCTTTTTAGGATATTAGTTTGGTGGTAAGAAGGTAAAATCCTGTCTGATGTTTAACTTGAGTGGGATTTCATTCTAGTTAAATGATTCTTACTACATATTTTTCTGAAATGTCTTTAAGCCCAACTTTAACTTTTTTAAAATTACCCTGATTTAAAAAAATAATAGGTATGAATTCTTATGAAATAATTAAAATATAAAAACTATATACAGTAGATAACCTGAATGGCCACAAAAACATATTTTCTTGTAACTTTGCTATCTGTAGCATTAGAGACCCTTTATCATTGAAAATGTTAAATTTAATGGCTCAAAACATAAGGGAATTCATTTGAAGAGAGGCATTTATTTTATTTATTTATTTTTTTTAAGAAAAATTTTTAGTTGTAGATGATGCAATACTTTTATTTTATTTATTTATTTTTATATGGTGCTGAGGATTGAACCCAGTGCCTCACATGTGCCAGGCAAGTGCTGTACCACTGAGCCACAACCCCAGCCCCAAGGGGAGGCATTTAACTAGTACCTAAGCAAGGCTACTATTTAGACTCTCATAATGTTTCCAGTTTTGAGCAGTTAGTAGCACTTGTACAGTGACGTACATCATCAGCTTTTTTCTGAGGATCCACTTTGTTCTCTCAGTGTTACCAGAATTTCAGGACTGTGACACATTTGATCATCTGATTTCCATCATAAGTAACAAATTTTTTGATAATTTAAATCACAAGTATGAGAGTAGAGAGTATGGGAAAGCCATTTTAAATTGGTTCAAGGCTTTCCCCAAGTCTATCCCTAGACCACATTATCCCAGTCATTAATACAATCTTCTGTCTCATTTCATTTTCCCTTTTACTGAATGTTCATAAAGGTGCTTAAACACTCATTCCTGACTTATTAACACTGGTAACACTTCTAGGCACTTTCAGAGTCTCATACTCTTTGTAGAATTCTGTGCTTTATGGAATATTGAATACATCCAACATTATTTACTTAGGCATAAAATTGAAAAAGTCACTTCAGAAAACATTACGGGATTTGGTGTCTCTTTGAGAATTGAGAGAAAGCAGTAAGAGTACGGGAGCATTTAGGAAGAGGATGTACCACAGGGCATAGGTTAGGTAGGAAATAAGCTGATATTCCCCATTTCAGTTAATTCTACTTAGCATTTTTTTTTAAGGGGACGAGGGATTCTGCTTTATCTTACTAATAGCTAAGAATGTGCTCTCTGTCCTTTTATTTCCTCCTTTTTCCCTCTGATAGTGGAGAGATTGAACCCAGGGATACTGAAGTACACCTCTAGCTCTTTTTATTTGAAACAGAGTCTCACTAAGTTGCCCAGGCTGTTCTCCCACTTGGGATCCTTCTGTCTCAGGCTCCTGAATAGCTGGAATTACATAGCATGCTCCTCCCAGCCTGGCTTGTTTATTCTTTGTATCTCACCAAAGAATGATATATACTTTCATAGAGGGGTGGTGTAGTCATGCCTATTGATTCAGTTTATGAGATTAAAATGCTGAGAAAGTTTGCTCTTTGTGCCTTAGGATTTCTTTATTGGTTTATATCATTAAAATTCTTTTTTTTTTTTAACCAGGGATTGAACCCAGGGGCACTCAACCACCGAGCTACATCCCCAGCCCCTTTTTGTATATTATTTAGAGACAGCATCTTTCTGAGTGGCTTAGGGCCTCACTAAGTTGTGAGGCTGACTTTGAATTTTGGGTCCTCCTGCCTCAACCTCCTGACCTGCTGGAATTACAGGCACGTGCCACCATGCCTTGACTGTTACTAAAATTCGAATGAAAATTTCAGTCAAAAAAATAATTGAAAGGGCTGGGGTTGTGGCTTAGCAGTAGAGGGCTCTCCTAGCACATGTGAGGCCCCAGGTTCAATCCTCAGCATCACATTAAAATAAATAAAATAAAGATATTGTGTCCAACTACAATTAAAAAATAAATATTAAAAAAAGAAAATAACTGAAGATTATTTGTAATTCTGGCACAAGGGGAGAACCTTGTGGGTACATTTGCCTCTTCTAAGGAAGAATCTGTTTATGGTCTTCTATTTAGAGATGAATAGCCACTTGTTTTCTGGGTGGTTTTTTAGATAAAGCACTGGTACAATTCTGATTTTTCCCCTCTCAGAATGCCTTCTGAGATCTTGCTGAAGATATTTTCCTACTTGGATGCTGTGAACCTGCTGTGTGCTGGATGTGTAAGCAGACGCTTCTATCATTTGGCTAATGACAAGTAAGTAGAAAACCAAGTCTGTTATGTTTTTAGCCACATCAATGTTTATAGCAGCACAATTCTCAATAGTAAACTGGAGCCAACCTAATTGCCCTTCAGTGGATGAATGGATAAAAAGTGTGGCATATATACACAATGGAATTTTACTCAGCATTAAAAGAGAATAAAATCATGGCATTTGCAGGTAAATGGATGGCATTGGAGAAGATAATGCTAAGTGAAGTTAGCCAATCCCAAAAAAACAAATGCTTAATGTTTTCTCTGATATAAGGAGGCTGACTCAGTGGAGTAGGGAGGGGGAAGATGGGAGGAATAGATGAATTCTAGATAGGGAAGAGGGGTGGGAGGGAAAGGGAGAGGACAGGGGATTAGCAAGGATGGTGGAATGTGATGGACATCATTATCCAAAGTACATGTATGAAGACATGAACTGGGTGTCTACTTTATATACAAACAGAGATATGAAAAATTGTGATATGTATGTGTAATAAGAATTGTAATGCATTCTGCTGTCATTTTTAAAAAATAAATAAAAAATGACAATTTGATAGAAGTCATGAAAACTATTAAGAGCTTGTGAAATATTTTTAAAAATTTAAGATAATTTCAATAGTATTTTTAGACATAAATAGAAATAATTTGTCTAATACTTTATGTAGTCATATATTTTCAGCTCTTTGAATTTGTATACTTAAAGAAAGGAATATTCTTTGCATATACTGAATAAGATCAGGCTCATTATTGCTGTAGTAATTGGAGGTTGCAGCTTTGTTCCCTTAGGGTTCTTAGGTGTGCTCACTCCAGCACTAGACAGACACATCCACATTCTCAAGCAGCACCACAGAGACTTCCCCATTGTCCCTGGCCTTGGTTTGCAGACCAGATGACATGCTTTCTTCTGGCAGGCAGGCAGGCAGAGCCTAGAGGAACAAGCACAAGGAACCAAGTTAAATAGAGGTAGCCCCTCCCCCCAAACTTGCCAATCAAGTAAATTCACTCTGTGGGGAGAGTGAAGGAGGGAAGGAGAGGCCCACAGCATCTTCTGGAGCTGTTACCTTTGAAGCAGGGAGTCACCCTTGCCTGAGCTCCCAGGGTGTCTATGAATAAAGAAAAATCTCTCCACTGTTTTGACACTCAGCTTTGCCCACACCACAGAATTTATCTTGTGTGGGGAGATTATGGGACCTCCTGACATCAGGTGAGCATTGTGTGCCCACAACTGAGTATTTTGGTCTTCTAGGCTCTTCTCTCATTCATATCAAAAGATCACACAGATACTAATTCTACCTAGAATCCATGTGTCATGAGGGAAAACATCAAGGGAATCCAGATTTTACTTATTTATTTTTTGCTTTTTTCCCCTCTTTCCACATTTTATTGGTGTATTATAGTTATGCATAATGATGGGATTTATTGTTTCAATTTGTACATGCATACAGTATAATAATATAATTTGTCCATTATCACTTCCCAGCAAAATGCAGGTTTTAATGGTAGTTTTGTTTAATAGAATGACAAAAGAAGGTCTATAATATAATTTAATCTTGGAATGTGGCAGGCAAGAAATGTTATATGGTATATTGGTTCTTATATGCTAGTCAATAGAAACCTGAATCAGAACCATCTGGGAAGTCTTGAAAAAAACCTTGGATTTCTAGTCTGCATTTCTGATGACTGTAATTCAGTGCTCTGGAATTTGTATTTTTAACATTTCTTCAGATTATACTGCTGAAAATTAGGTTCTGAAATGACTTGATGTCATATGTTTGTCAGTTACTTAAGGAACTCAAAATAAGCTCTTAGACTCCATTAAGGCTGCCCTCAACTGTTATTATACTCAGGAGAGCACATATATCATTCTCTGGTTGGGAAGCATTGATTTTACTTATTTTTCAATTTAAAAAGATGTCTCCTATATGGGAGAACTATGTCTGTCTGTCTATCTGTTTCAACACACACATCAGTGAGTGAAATTATGAATCATGTTCTTGACAGAAGTTGTAGAGTGAATGGAGAGCAATTTTTATGTTTCTTTTTCTTAACAACCTAAAAAGAGATGATAGAATTTACTAAAGCATAATGCAGTGAGGAATTTCTCAAGGAAATAGTAATCTAGTGTCCAAAACTGTAGTATGCTGGAGAGTTCTCATTATATTTAATGATAGTATTAAAAGGGTCTTAACCTTAACATTTTTATTAAATAATCAAGAACAATCTGATTTAATATTTTGATTCCATAATATAAAACATTTTTGTGTAGGCACCACTTGTTAATTGAACGTGCCAGTGTGTGTGTATGCAGCTCAGCATTGCACCATGGTGTAGTCACTGCTGCGGAGTATGTGTGGGGCTGCTGATCTGACCCCTTCTCCACAGGAGTGCTTGCTCTTGTGGTTTGTGAGGACTAGACCATGTACCAGTAGCATTGGCAGTGGTTTGGTAGTGCTGATGGGAGAAATTTATCCCACCCATGTCCTGCATGAGTGGTGGAAACAGAGTTCCTCTGGGGTTCCTCTGTGTAGTATAGGCTGGTGGCGAAAAGACCACGTGACTAGGTTCTGAAATGACTTGATGTCATATGTTTGACAGTTTTTAAAATTACAGAAGTAATTTTTTATAAAGCTGGGGCAGGATGGCTCTTTGACCTCACACTGGAAAAAGAGAGTGTGTGAGCCTGCATTTTTTTTTAATATGGGGGATACACAAAGGCTTTTCCATAGAATATTTTGCACCAAATAAGGCATGGGGTAGGCTGTCCAAGCCCAATGGGTTATGCCCACGTCCGGAGCTAGAAGAAAGCAGACTTCCTAGCCCAGGGAAGGCAGTGATCCCGTGCATCGCACCAAGTGGAAGGAGCCACACTGCAATGCCAGATCAAAACCTTCTTGTCTCAAGGCTGAGTGAAGATGCTATGATAGCTCGGGGATCCCCCCTGCCTCCCACAAAATTTGAAGTTCCATAAAAATCTTGCTAAAACAAAGGAACACTTAAGTAGAATGAGATTTTAAATAAATCTGAGGAAAACACAAGTAAGCTTTATGCACAGGGAGGAGTTTTTTTAAAAGTATGTATTTGAGAGATTTTGGTAAAACAGTTTTTATTTACCTAGATATGTTTAATTAATCATTACTTTACATCTGTTGGCTCACATATGAAAGTTTAGAAATTTCTGAACCAAAAACGTAAAGGCTTTTGTACAACTACCTTGCATGAGACGATTTTGTAGGGTGAAAGAAATGACTTTAGAAAACCATACCAGAAAGGGATGTCACTAGGCCTGTGATTATGTGTGAATTTGTTGGGAAGTCCATGCAAATGTCTGAATTCTGGAGAGGTTCTCTGAAGTCCTTTTGTGAGAAGTGATCCGTTTCTGTTGGAGTGAATGAGGTACCTGTGGTATCTCTAGCTCAGCAGCAACCTCTTCTGGGAGGCTTCTTGGCCATTTATCATTTTATACCATACTTCTCTAAATAGAAAAGTAGGGATGTAAATAGCAAATAATTAAATTTTATTTATGGGAAGCTTATCTTTTAGATTAGGAAATTGATTTTAACCCCTGCTTCAGTTTTCCCTAGTTGATATTTCTAGGATGGAGAGTATTAGCTCAGAGACAGGAGACCTGTGGTCCAACTTTAAGCCCACTACTGACTGAGTACTACTGCACATGGGGTTTCTCACTGGCCTCTTAGAAACAGTGAGCAGAAGGAACACAGACTTTGTATCTGAAGGGAATTTGTATTACAACCTTGTTTAGTTTATTCAGTTATTGGAGACAGAGTGAAGCATATGGATATGAGAGCTCCAGTCCAGCCTGCATGGGTTCAAATCCAAGTTCCATAGTGTTCTGGGGTGTACCAACCTGATCCAGAGCACTTTGCATCAGGGCTTCAGCTGCATCATCTCTACAATGGGGAGCTGCCTCCTGGGTTTGTTGTGAGGACTCAATGAGTTAATGTGTATAAAGTGCTTAAAAAATGCTTGACATATAGTATTTGCTCCAAAAAACTTAACAGTTGTTGTTAGTGTTATCAATAACATTCACATTTTTATCTTTGAGAAAGCAATGCATGTTACTGTTGAAAAGTTAAAAAATAGGAAGCAAAAGAAATGCATAATTCAGTTCTTCCCTGTTGATATTTCTGTGTGTGTGTATCCTTTTTGATCTTTTTAAAAGCATGCATGTGTAAAAAAAAATAAGACTTGTACTACATAGCCTTCTTATTTTTCTAGAATAGAACTCCTATTCAGTTGACAAGGCAGTGGTTTGGATTATCCTAAATAACATGAGATTGCTTACTTTATGCTTTATCCTCAGAAACAGACTTTTCCATTTTTTTTCATATGTTTTTGGGGTTAGTGAATCTAAAGCACTGCATTTCAAACTGCAGTTCACTTTAACATATGAACAGTTGTAAATGTTCAGCTTTATTTATTCATGGAATTGAACTGTTATGCATCTCTAATTTAATATGAGATGCATAATACAGGTGTGTGGCAATGTCTCTTGGTTTATGTATTTTCTCTTTTTTTCCCAGTTTTATTTGGCTCAGAATCTATTCAACTGTGTTTTCACCTAAAAGATCCAACTGGAAAGTTAACTCAGTGGAGGAGACAACTGTGTCTGTGAGTGGACTGTCAGTTGAGGATAAAGAAGCTGGCTATTGGAAGAAAGAATATATTGCAAAACAGATCACATCTGTGAAGACAGCACTGGCCCAGGTTCTCCAACCTGTCAGCCCCTACACAGGCCTTCCTGTGAAAACCAAAGAGGCCCTTAGGTATGCAGTGTGTCCTTGAGCAGGGACCTCTGAGGCTCCTGGACAGACTGTGGCACCTTTCAATTTATAACCACTTTAGAGAAGACTGGTGGCCTCAGCTCTTAGTGTCCTGTGCATAGGGCAGATGTGTAGTTTAGGTGTGGGGAACTATCACTGATAATTTTTTGTTTTTCTGCATCTATATAATATGCAGTATATTCCTATTCCATATATGTGGCCTAAAGTTTTTCTGTTTTTATGAAAAGCAGAAATAACCTAATGATCTGCTCTAGTAAAGCAAGGGTGTTCAAGATGTTCTTCCTTCTGGGTGGAATCTTTGTTGTACTTAATGTCTGTTGTCAGTTGCTGGAACATCATAGATGTTCAGTCAGTTTTAAGAGAGGAGCAAAAGTATAACAAAGAACTTCTGGTGAAACAAAAATTATGTTGTGCATGTTCCGAGAATGTTGATTTTTGCTTTCACGGAAATAGATGCTTTCAAGATAATGTATGAAATTGCCTTTAGCATTTATTTCCTAGAATGAGGTAAACATTTTTAGGTTTTTTTTTCTTTCTACAGGATATCAGGTTTAGGTTGGGCAATTGTATTGAGAGAAAAAAGTGGAAAAGAATATATCATGCAGCATGTTGATCTTTCTTTAAATGATACATCAGTTACTGTTGTGTGGTATGGCAAAAACTGGCCATGTTTAGCAACATTAACAACCTTGGATTTGTGTGGTGTGACGCCAGTTTTTATGGACCGGCATAAACCTCCTGCCAAAAATGGGTAAGTATTAATTTGTAGAACTCTCAAGTGACAGCATCTTGTACCTAAATATTAGTTGGCATTACTTTGGTAATTCAAAAATATTGCTAATGTATTTTAATTTGATTGTACCCTAGACTTTTCTGCAATTTTGCATCACCATGGAATAGGAAAAAAATGTCTTTGTCATACTTAAATCAGGTCTGAATTTAAGTTCCTCATGTATTGGTTATATGTAACAGTGTGAAATGATGTTCTAGTTAGCAAAGTTTCTTGGATAATTGATGGCTAACCTTTTGAAGTTTTTAACAGAAAGATCTATAAAATGATTACATTTTTCTTTAGTAAATGATTATACCAATCATAGTTGAAGTATGAAGTCATGCATATAATTATTTATTTTGCTTGTCTTTCTTTTGAACTTACTACATGTGTGACCTTGCTACGTAACTTTTTGCATGCTTCCACTGTCACATCTGTAAGTAGGATGGTGCCTGTGTAGTATTTAGTGTGGGGGGACTACTGTGAAGATCAGACTCTTACCAATTTAAAATGCAATATCAAAGGTGTGTGTATCCCAGTGCTAGTGCTTACTGAACACTCACTCTTTTCCTATTGTTAGGTGGCTTTATACTGAGTCCATACTCATTAGAAGGCTTACGTTTACTTTACCCAGGAAATCTCTCATGCCACTTTTCTCATTATCAGTTATTTTCTCTTGAAAGTTGGACTATGGCATGTAGCATCCCCATTTCCTGAGCAAGCTAACATAGTCTATACAAAATCTACCACAGATGAAAGGGTCCTATCTACCTTCTGCAGAATTTATGTCCTGCTCTCCCTCCCTCTTCTTTCACTGTTACGATGTCCTTGGACTTTTCAGCAACACTTCCCATACCCCTTTTCCTGCTATTCTTGCATGCTGCAGATTCACCCATCGGTCTCTCTTTGTCCTTGGTGAAAGGTATTCAGGTGCCTGACATTAGGGCTAGCTGTCCCCAGGAGGATCAGTGTTCTTTACCGTTTCCCTGGAGGTGGATCTTGTGTCTGGCTTCTCTGTGGTCCTGTTGTGATCACTTAGCTCTCCCTATGCTGTGAATATGAGGACATTCAGACTTCTCACTGATGTAAGTCCAGATTTTGTATTTTGAAAATGCCCTTGATGCCACAGTAAAAAACATATGAATTATTTTTTCTGATTGTATTACTGAAAACATTTTGGAAACACAGTTATCTTTTAAATAGTTTTTTTATTTGAATAACTTTCTGAAATTGCAAATGGTATCATGATGGGTACCAGATTATTCTAATACAATATTTAGGTTTTACACATTATGAAATAGTGTTTGGAGGCTGAGCCCACAGATTCTGTTCTTATTTGACTGAACAACATGCTACTTGGCATATCATGAAATGCTGTTTACAAGTATTAGGACAAAACTGTTAAATTAATTAAAATGAACACAAAAGACTAAATGGGTCAGGTGGAATTGTAACACTCAGTTGAAAACAGTATATTCCTAAAACTTGACATCAAGGTCAGGAATACTGGATGATATACAGTGAGCAATGCTAGAATTTATTGAGGAAATATATTTTATGTAATTTATTTCCATTAACACTCCATGGACTTTAGCTGGCCTCTGATCAACCATGGCATTGGTTTTGATTGCTCTTTCATTGTAAGTTTGTGAACCAGTGCTGTCATCATGCGGCAGCACAGATCCTTGCCTCCAAGAAGATACTTTATGACTTTTATTTGTTTTTGTTTTTTGTTTCTTCAATGAGAATTTTTTCAGAGACAGTGAAAGTACTGTTGATGTAATTTGCGAATTGGATTTCCCTATAATTCATTGCTTTCTAATTGAATCTCAGTTGGCTTCCTTGCCAGTGTATGTCAGTGGCTTGTAAGGCCAAGGCAAATGAGAACTCAACACATCCACAGAATCTAGTGTGTTTTTTTTTTTTTAACCTTTGGGCCCATTGGAGAGGGAGAGAAGAGGGATTTTCATACCCCACTTCGCCTCCTCTCCATTTTAATCATGGCAGTGGCAGTGACTGCCATTTATTAAGTACCCACCATGTGCACTATGCTCTCATGGTATTTTCTCATTTATTTTTTCAACCTCCCTTCTGAGGAGGCTGGTGATCTCATACACAAGAAATTGTCTGCTGTGGTTGAGGAGGAAGAGTCACTGTCAGTGGGAGCTAAGGGTTCACCTCAGGTTTCCCTGAATCCACAATTAAATCAGAAATCATCCTCCTTCAGGAATAATCTGCATATACTGAATGTATTTTTAGTTTGTGAATCACACATATGCTCACTGACCACCTCTTCTTTTCCAGTGGTTCTCAGCACAAAAAGTTTTCTTGAAGGGCTCAATTCCCTGGTATGGGAGCTGTGGGTTTGCCTCTAGTGCCTTATAGTGCATCCTCTGCTATGAAACAGTGCTATAGCTGACCTTTTAAAAAATTCTTTTACCTAATGAACATTTGCATAATTATTGACTTCTGCTAGGTGCTGGGGGCAGCCTCTGGAATGCTCTGGAGCCCCAACTCCTTCGGGACTTTGTTCTAAGGCTGTGCTCTGTTAATTGACCAATGAGATCTCATCTTTCTTATAATTCCCTGAATCATCTTTAGGTTCCTGAGAATGACAGACATTCATGTCTACCGTTTATAGTGCTCTAGAAGGTTTCACTAGATGACTTTAAGTCTTGTGATGAGACACAGACTTGTCTTTTCTTACACCTCTGAGTATTTACTCTTAGACACTGAGTTCTCAGGTTATCTCCTTTATGATAACAATCATGATTTTGGTTTAAATTTATTTTCTAATGTTTCAGTTTTTACTCTCTTAGTTTCCCTGAAGATAAATTTGAAAGACACTTTTGTGTTCAGATATCCTACTGAGATTACCTGTTTTGTGTAACTTAAAGTATCTTACCTTTGCTTATGCACTATTTCACTCACTAGATTAGAATTACATATTGAGAATTGACTTTTGATTGTCATGTTTTTTCTGGGTTTTGGCATCGGGTGGGGGTGGGGGTATGAGAATAGAAGACAGTTCTGCCACTGCTTTACCATGCTAATTCTTCAGTGCCCCTCTGGCTGGGTCATTGAGTTGATAGAGCAAGGGAGTGGGGAAAACATAGTATGGTGAAAAGCTCAAATGTATCCATTTTGCGTTTTATTTATGCAAGTCTTTTGTGTCCCCACGTCATGATTGATTGTGCCACTTAGTTTGAGTAAATAAGTATGTATAAATTGCTCTTCAAAAGCATTTTTAGATACACTAAGTAGTAACAGTGATACAGATAGGAAAGCTCACGTCTCTCTTTTTTCTTTGGCATGGGTTTTCAAAGACCTCGATGGTATTCTTTAATTGCAAAGTATGACTTGAGTCACTTAACGGAATCTACCATGATCGGTTGCGACAGACTTGTTCAGATATTTTGCCTACACCCTGGTCTCCTGGTGGGGCTATGGAAGGTAAGATGTATTCCTTGTGTATCCTGAATCATTTCCCTGTCACAGCCCCATGTTCACTCACCATTAGGTATAAAGTCATATGTAAACTCCTTGACTTTTCAGCAGTTGCATCTTACCAGCCTCATTTTTCTGGCTAAATGATCTTCTCTTTATTGAAGCAACTCTACTGTTCTGCTATCACAGTGACAAACCACTTCTTCCTCCTTGTCTGTTTTTGTTAACGTTGTTCTTTTAATGTCATGGGGCTTCTCTTTTCCCCCTTCCAATCAATCCGTGTTTCTTCCTCTGTTTCTTTCATGTCCTTGTCTGCCAAAGCCTCTTGATCATTCACCATGGTAGTGTTCCAAGCATGCTTCTGATGCTGCGATGTAGCATGGGATATAATTTGCTTTTCAGGGTCAAGTGTTTGAGAAGTTGTCCTTTCCTTTTACATAGGTTTCTTGTTGTGCCAAGTCAGGCTGGTTGCTTGCTCCTCCTCTGGAGGTTATTTTCTGGCAGTCACAGAGTAAAAAGCAGAATATACCTCTGTGTATACAAATTTAAGTCTTTGGCCTGTGGATGTTTTAAGGGAGTTAACAGACTTTATTTTGAGAATAGCAGTGTGCATCAGTGTACACTGATGAGACAGAATCAAGGTCTCCATTTTCATAGAGCATCATCTTGTGGCACTCTTTTCTTTTTTCAATCTCCTATGGCTGTCCATTTTTCTTTTCCTCTGTCCCCTTCTCTTTGAAGGTAACTTGTGGGTGAGGCAAGGGTTTTTTTATTTTACATTTTATGACTTGACCATCCATCTGTGTTGGCCTATAGAGTTAAGAAGACTGTGGTTGATCTGCTTGTCTTCTGCCTGGTATTTGAAGGTTTACTGTTTGTGAGTGTCTACACCAGTCAGCATCAACCATGAATCTGAAGAGAGATGGATGAGTCCCAAATAGTCACATTTTCTGTTCAGCCTAATGGGCATGAGAAAAAGCTGAATCTAATCACTCTCACTGCATTTGCTAAATCAAATACTTTCTTGAGTGAGGAACATTATGCCAGTAATGTTCAGTATTTGTTGAATTAATCTGGTACTTGTGAAAGTCTTACCAGTATTGTCTTTATATTGGACAAGAGTCGAAACAGCCCTGAATTGACTATATATATACATTTATACATATTAACAATCACAAATATATATATATATATATATATATATATATATAATTTGCAATCATCATATATAATAGAGTATTTTGATGTTTCCCAAGTCCTAGGATGTTAATTCTTTTGGTACTGCATGCTCTGCCTATTTGGATGAATTGTGGTCCTACTGTCAATGTGACACATAAGTCTTATTAGATAGTAATAATATATTAGCAGTAATAACGTATTTGTGCCATGGTGATCTTCTAGTTATTAGAAACCACATCTATCTGCAAGATGAATGTGCTGTGATCTTCACAACGACCTTGTGAAATATTAAAATATTTCAGTTGAAAAATGTATTCTTTTTAATTAACTTTTCAGAAGGAGGAAGAACTGGCTTTTGTCATGGCAAATCTTCATTTTCATCACCTTGTGGAGAGGAGCACATTAGGCTCAGCCTCTGTGTATGTATCTGGGTGAATTGAATTTTTATACCATCAATATAAAGGGTTAGAAGTTGATGCCATCTTAATATTTGACAATAGCTACAAAGATATTCTTCTAATCGGTAGACACAAGCCAACAGGCATAAGTGCTTTAGCTGTTGCTAACATAGTTGGATTATTAATGAGTATATATTTGCTTTATGTATCCCTAGTTAAGGATTTTGTACCTAATATAACATTATTCATGGACATAGGAATGCTTCACTACTACAAGATGCTGCCAGTTGATCCCTCAGTTTCTTGCACTTCTGTGAATTTTCATATCTTGCAAGACATGCACATTACGGGCCCTCTGGATGAATTTGGTCTGCAGATTTATTTTGGTTGGGGTATCTTTTAATGCATTTGAATGTCCTTCATTGGGGAACATGCTTTCCATTTCCGTGTAGCTCTTAACCTTCCTCTTTGGACTAATACACTCCCTTACTCATTTATTTTTTATTGTCTAAAAAGCTCCTGGGTGCTTTTGAGTGTTACCTTGTAGTAAGGTTTTTCTTATAGAGCAAAACTTTTATCATCTTGGCTTCAGTTTTGCCTGAGTCCCTAACCTGTAGGTCTGCTGTTTGATGCATTTCCTTGCTGAATACCCCGGTTTCTGGTTACTGAGAACATTGAAGGCAGTTCTACCTTTGTAGAACTGATGTTGGGATCCATCTCAGAAATACCTTCATCATGGCGGTCCTATGGGTACCTTTGGCACTCATAAATGTGCCTGTTTTTATAGAAATTGGTGAGAGGAACATGAAACAGTTCTTTTGGGTTTATGGTATTGAAGATTATTGGTGTCTCTATAATGTCTCATTGGTAAAAGATAGTGCTTTGAATGAATGCTAATTGTTTTAGAAGTAATTTCAACCCAAGTATTTCATCTCTGGTGTTGACAGATTTATGTGTTTTGTTTTTCTTTTCAGGCCCTATGAGCTGCCTCTTCACAGCCCCTTTTTGGATGACAGTCCAGAGTACGGGTTGCATGGCTACCAACTCCATGTTGACATGCACGGCGGTGGAGTTTTCTACCTGTGTGGTACATTTCGCAATCTCTTCACCAAGAAAGGTGAAGTTAATTTAATTTTTGTTCCATGAAAGTAAAAGGTGTAGAGAATATGGAACTAATTTCTGGGGCTAAGAATCATTTTCCTAACTGGTCATTTTGTAATCCATTGGCACAGTTATGTTCCCTGACCCCATCTCACTCTGGACTTGTGAGATTCCTTGGCTTTGTGAATGTGAATCTCTTCTGCATCTGGCTTTGACTCTTTCACCACCATCGCTTTCTACTTTCTGGATGTGGTCTCATTTTCTTTGCTTATATTTTTTTATTGTTTTGCACTCCCCCCAACCCTTTTCCCTTCTTTCTCTGAGGATTTGGTCAGTGTGCCAACAGAGCTGATGTAGTACCTGTCCAGGATGAGAACAAAGAGAGGCTAGCCTTCTCTCGTGTGTGCTGAGTTAAGTGTTGTCCCACTTGCCAAAGCTGAGAAGAGGACAGGGAGACCTAGGGATGGAGGAGGGAACTTGAGCTAAGCAAAAGAAAAGAGAATATCTGTATTCTGATTTTTCATTCTTTTGTATACTGTACACATGGAATTTGATGTAAATACTTGTATATAATTGAGTTTAATATTTTTGATAAGGATTTTTTATATGAGAAATTATATCTCCTTCATTTTGCATCATATTAAGAGGCGTATAATGTTGGGTCATCTCTCTGTTAGTATTCCTGAATTTCTTTTGGTTAAACTGACCACTAGAGCTCTCATTATAAAGCCATTCTTTACCAGATACACTGTTCCTCAAAAGCTTTTTACCTAATGAACTTGACATCCATTAATGATCCTTGCCTAATTTCTTTTTTTAATTTAGAAAATGCTGGATTTCTAATTATGTCATTATTTCTATATTTTCTAGCTGAGATTTTAAAAGGTACTTTGTTTTATCACTTGGGTGAAGGCAGGTAGATGCTTAATTCTTTTCGTTTTAAGTGTCAACTTTCAGATTAAGAAAATGATGTGTAGTTACCTCCTACAGTGGAACTGTTTTTCATACTTCTTTCTCTTTCCTTCCTTTCTTTTTTCATGTTTAGTGTCTCTCTGGATTCTTGGGTAAGTCTATTTATCCAAGAATTTATAAAAAGTTACAGATGTTATTATTTTTGAAGCTAAAATTGTTGCCAATTTGGTCATTGGGGTCTTCTCTGTGTTCTTTGAATTCACCTCCATTAGTCTGCTGCCTGTCTGTCTTCCTTTCCTTTCCCTTTCTTCCCTTTCCCTTTCCTTCAGAGATACTTTACCACTGAGATATATCCCACATTCTTTTCATTTCTTATTTTGAGATAGAGTCTCACTAGGTTGTTGAGGTTGTCCTCTAACTTATGGTCCTCCTGCCTCAGCATCCTGAGTCACTGGGATTCAGGTATGCTGCATTACACCTGGCTTCTCCATTAGTCTTCGAGCCCTCCTTGCCTTTTGATTCAAGATTTCTATATTCCTTTGCTTTTTGGCATTTTATTGTAATTATGAATACATTAACATGAGATGCTTTGACATTTTTGTTGTTGAATAGTTCCACCCAAGAATGTGGAATGCCCTTCAATTTGTTAAAAATACTTATATGACTTTTAGGAGTGTTTTAACATCTTCCTCATACTAATTTTGTACATTTGTCATTAAGATTTTTAGTGACTATTTAATCTTTGTATCTTTTCTTCCATTTTGTCTTTTAGTTGTTTTGTAATACCTGTGTAGTTTTGGCCTCAGGTCACAGATGGTCTTGTAGAATCAGTTGGGAAGTCTTCCTTTTTCTTGGAGTTTTGGAGAATTTTACATAGAATTTTATGAATCTATCAAAGCCTGCAGCTTTCCTTGAGAGAATAATTTTAACTATATTTTGATTTTTTTGATATCTACAGGGATATTTATGTTATCTATTTCTTCATGTGTGAGCTTTGATAATTTGTGTCTTTCAAGGAACTTGTTCATTCATCTCACTTGTTGAATTTGTTAGAATAAAGTTGTTCATAGTCCCTTATTATTATTTTTTAATATTTGTAGGATCTGTAGTGATGCCCCCTGATTCCTGATAGTTAGTTTGTGTCTTTTCTTTTTTTCTGGTTAGTGTGGCTAGAAACTTGTCAATTTTAATGATCTTATGAGAACCACCTTTTGGTTTAATTGGCCTCTCTTTGATGTTCTTTTGTGTTTCATTGATTTGTATGCAGATTTTTATTCTTTCCACTTCTTCAGGTTTGTAATTTGCTTTTCCTTTTTTAGCTTTTTAAATAGGAAAACTGAAGTCATTGCTTCAGGAACTTTGATAATGAAGGGACATAGTGTATTCTACCCAGTACTGCTTTAGTGGCCATAAATTCTGATTTATTTTATTTTCATTTTCATTCATGTTCTAGGTTCCCATCATTTATAACATATACCTGATATAACCAACTTATTGGGAGAAGATATTTATTTTGGTTTATGATTTTAGAGGTTCCAGGCAACGGTCAATTGGCCATAATGTTCTGGGTCTTTAGTAAGGAGCACATCATGGCAGGACCACATGGTGCATAACTGCTCACCTTATGGTTGGGAGGTAAAAAGAGAGGGAAAGAAGGAACTGAGATCCTCCAGTCTCCTTCAGGGAATGCTGGTACTGAAGGTTTTTGTTATGTATTGTTATAGGTTGAAGATAATTCTTTCTATTCCTAGATTAGTTGGATTTTTATTATTTTTTAAATGAGGAGTAATTGTTAAATGCTGTTCCATATCTTTGGACAACTGTGGATGATCATATGACTTTTATTCTCCTTTGAACTATTAACAGTAAATTTCACTAATGGATTTCTAATAGTAAATATTCTAGAATCCCTACAATGAGCTCCTCTTGTCATATTTATATTTAAGCCACTGGTTTTAGTTACTTGGATTTTAGTGTTTTTTCATTTTCACTCACAGATGGTACAATGTACAGTTTTCATTTTTTTCTTCTATTACTGATTCAGTAATAATCAGACTTTCTCCTTTGGAATCAGATTTGGTATTTGTATAATTTCCTAATATTGTATTTAGTTTATTAGTTAGTTTAGAAAAGTGAGCTCCATGAAGTAGTGTGTGTTTTCTGTAGGTGTATTTTGACTTTTTTCCCCCTAGCATTCTGAATTGACTGTTCAGGTTGTTTCATTTTCAGGTTTTTATGTTTTTCCTCGTTTTTTTTTCTGCTGTGCCCAGAGTCTTGGGCTCTCTGAGGTAGGCAGGCACTGAAAGGTGCTCTTGAGCTGGCCTCTCCTGGACTTACTTGGGCCCTGTGGCCTCCACTTCAGATTGTGGTTATAGGCACTGGCAGCCTTTTGGTCAGGTGCCCTGCCTGTGAACAGCCCACCCATTTTGCAAAGTTGTGGAAATTCTTTCATTGGTTGCAGTCATTCTGTCCTTTGTGGCCCTGCAGATAAAATCTGATCCTTGGAATCTAGGTATGCACTGTTAAGGGTCTTGCTGACATGCCATATAACAACCCAGGTTCAAATGCCAGTGCCTTTGATGCTTGTGTTGGCAGAGAACTTAGTCTGCTCTCTGAGGAGCCCATATTTGTGTCCGTAGGTGTCACCTTCCCCCAGCCTTGACTGAGTTTGAGTTGCGAAACACTTGCTAGCCTTTCATGGTTTTATCATGGCGAGAAACTGGCTTGGTGATGGATGAATGAGACCTAGTACCCACAGTAGGGGATGAAATAGTTGGAGTGGTTTCTGCCACAGCTGCTCCCCAGAACTCTCCTTGCCCTCTGAACTTTGTGATCATTATTATAGTGGCCTGTGGGGCTCTCACTCTGCATCCTCTTCCTGGTCTCAGTGTTCCCATTGTCCCCCTCTGGCCTTATTGCCTATTGCCTTCCATCTTCTGCCTGCTCTCTTCAATCTGCACCAGCCACTCTGGCTTCCTCCCTGTTCCTTGGCCATTCCAGGCCTGCTGTGTGCTTGGGTACTTTTCCTGCTTCCCTGCCAGCAGTGCTGCTGTCCTAGACCTCTGCACAGCCTCACAGTGAGGCTTTCCTGTGAGGCCACACCAGGATATCTATTATATTATTTAATTGTATTTAGTTTATTAGTTAGTTTATAAAAGTGAGCTCCATGAAGTAGTGTGTGTTTGTCTGTTTTGTTCAGGACTGTCTTCCAGCATGGCAGAATCAGTATCTGTAGCCTAGTGGCCTCCTTGTTTGACCAAAGTGAGGGAAGTCGCTAGTGGTTAAGCCTCCATGGAGGAAAATGAAATCCTGCCCTCATTCCACCTCTCACAGTCCAGGAGGCCCCCCAAATACTGGTTCGGCCTGGTTCTGAGGTCATCTCTTAGTTCCAGAGATGCTACTGCAGTTCTGCCTCTTATTATCTCACTTCCTTTTCTCTTAGAATCCAGAGGAAGAGTCAGAACCCTCCTTTTTAAGTACTTCTATGTGTACATCTCTCTCTGGAGGGAAGAAGTTCCATAAACGTATGTCTTGGCAGACGGCTTTCTATCTATGTACCTATAGTAGGGTTCTTTGCTCCAAAATGAAATTTCTTCAGCATCTGATACAACTACTGTTTGTCCATCTCATGCTCTCACTGTGAGGTAGACAATAAGCATTTTTTTCTGATCTGACATGGTTTATAAGGCATGAATATTTCAAATTACCAAGCCATCTATAAAAATTCCTACTAAGATACTTTTTATATACTATTGTATACTTTAAAAAATTTTACTTTGAAATATTTTCACACTGTACAAATACAGAGAACTCCTATATAGCTTTTATGCAGAATTTACCAATTTATAACATTTTTGCTATATTTGTGTTGTATGCATATATACATATATGTATATATGTGGAGTTAGCCTGACCACTACTCTTTAGAGATTAGGTCTGTTAGGTGCCAGGTCTGATTTGGGAGTACCCAGGAATACAGGGAACAGGGCTGTGCCTTTCCTTCCTCTAAACAAATAGAGTATAATATGGGTCAGATTTTACATTGTATTCCTTGTATCTACAAGATACCCTTAATGATAGAGATGAGAGTTCTAGGACACATTT